ACTCCCCGGATATATCATTCCCTTTGTTAAATTTATAACTGGATACCTTTAAACTGTTCGATGCCGCCTTCCATTGGAGGATAAAAGGGATACCTTCGGCAACCTGTGTCTTCCAGTTCAGCCATTGTTTTCTTTCCTACCAAAGATGCGAGACCTGCTTCGACAACAGAATCAATGGTGAATGATGGCCCTTTTTTATAATATATTTCCTTGCTTGTTGCTCCGAAGCATTTGTGTAGTCTTGTTTTGATCTATTGATTCATATTTCAACAAGTATTCTTAGTAGAATGGCGCTTTAAGATAAATTCAATATTTATTTCAAATAGCACATTAAAAGCAAACTTTCATTTAACTTTTTACTATCTATGGAGAGTGCTCTGATCGTGAATAATTTCGAAATAACTGTTAAAAGGTTCCTTGAGTACTAATAACCCAAGTCTCGCAATAACTCTGCAGGGTTGCCCAGAATAGGGTTTTATTGCGCAAGTTACGCCATCAAAATTTTTGAGGGAGCCATATTTTGGATTTTAGTGGTGATATATTTCAACGGTGTTATGAATTTTCGGAATGAAAAGATTTAAACTAAAATACAAGGGAAATCATGGAACAGACTGCGGGAAGTGTAATTGTATATAATCTATAATTTTTATAATTCTACTTTCTCTCGAATTGATCATGGGGGAGAGGAGAGGAGGGAGAATTTTAAAGGTTAAGTATTTTCTAGGAAAACATTTGAACCCTCGGTATTCCTTTGTCCGTAAAGGCACGGAGATTATATGCTCAGGTAGCTAGGAAGTGGCTTTTGGCTTAGGACTCAAAAACAATTTAACAACCGACTTGGCAGGTAAAAGTTAAGTAGATACTTTTTTGAAAACAGTCTGACCTGAAGTTATCGTACCGAAAAGATCTTTCACAGAAACTACTTAAACCAGCATTGAAATATGTCTTTTCTAATAGCAATAGGAATTCTCTCAAAAGAAAGTCTTTATTTCAGGAAAATCACTTAAAAGATAAAGAGATATGTACTGTTATTTTTAGTGTTTAAAACGTATTTATATTGCTATAATCATCTTCATATTATCCAAACATTTCTGATAAACAAATAAGGATTTGTAAACAAATGAGAGGTTCAGTTCAGAATTATTTTTTAAGCGTTTCTATTAAACTTGCAATAGCTATGATGAAGGAATTGTTACGGTATCTACTTACATTAACGCTCCGCATATGTAGTGTCTATGTAGAAACGGCCACCTTTTTATTCTGTATTATCTAATTTGTTCAAATTAAATTTAATGATATGATGATTTGGCTATATTAAGACCATATACCAATTGAATTTGCGTAGAAAACCTGCGTTCCTTTTACATGGTACAATTGACTAAGTCAGGCCGGACAGTTTCCTGCAATATGAGACCTCCTCAAAATGTCGGATGTCAGTTGACGGCGAAAAAAAAAACTATATAAATGACAGGGAAACTTTTAATAAGTATGTATCTAACAATGAACTTTTGATATCAACTTATAAATTAGGGCTTATATAATGGAAAGAATGTAAAACAATTCAAAATGTAAAATGCAAATAAAATGAAATTCGATGACGTTATATTGGACTAGGTAGATAAGATATCTGGAGTTATTTAAAGGTAGAATGCCATTCTCTGCTCGATCGTAAGCTCTTGATCTACGCTCTGCCCCCAGGGTTCTCTTAAGTTGTGTTCCAATATAATCAGGAAACATTAATTATTTATCGGCCTCTGACATAAAGGAATTAAAAGAATATATAAAAACTTTTATTCATTTACTTTTTTTATTGTTTTCTTATCAGATAAGAAATGTTTATGTAAACTTATAAATTGCATAAAAAATCTAATCAAAACCTATTTTAAAACTTCTTTAAGAAATAATAAAAAAATATTTAGAGAAATAACATTTAATACTATAAAAAATATTCATACTCATACAACTGTACACCACTATATTTTATTTTGTTGACTAATTTTAGCATATCTGGAATGAAGTAGATACAAAACTAAGTTGTGAATTATGAATGTTCACCATTCTGTATCCGAACTCTGGAGATTTCGAAGGCGGAGGATTGTCATATCGTTAGGATATACTGTATAAAAATGTCCTGACCCACTAAAACGATCGTGTATTCAATGTTATATTGAGTATCTCAATGCTTCAAATGAAAAGATTTCTGAAAATATAAGTTAACGAATACACACTGTCATAAGCATTATTTTCACAGTTTTGAAACCTGCCATATACTTCTTGTTTATATTGAGGAATATTAATTAACATTTCCGGCATTCAATAAAATATTAAAATTTAAACGAAATATTATTAAATTACTATTTTGATTAAATCAATTTTTTTTTTTGTTTCATTAAAGAACGGGGAAAAGTGCCCTGAGTTAGCACCTGATAACGCTAATGTGGTATAATTTGTCAACAGAAGGTAGAAATTTTGAAGACCCCTAATAGTAGAAGTATGTAGAAGAGATAAGATCTGGTGGGGACATTACTTCTGGACTTGGGTCTCATCTTCTTCAGGAGTCGCTGGGACGCCCACGGCTGGAATGCCGTCTTCTAAAAACCACCCCCTCTTGAATCTGTTTATAGCCTCATTTAAATAAAGAAGCACGAAGCTCGGCGTCTAGAAACCATCTCCGGATCTGTTTGTGATTTATGTCGAGTGTTTAGTCAGTTAACGGGCTCAAGTTTATATCCCCCCTTAATTAAATCGAGAATATTTAGTAAGTGAGAAATTCCAATGTATTTATGAGATTGATTCCGTTCCATGATTTATATTTATAATAATATTAATTTAAAATCAGTTATATCCTTTGATTTGATCATTTGATCGATCAAAGAATCATAAAAACGTAGAGCAAATCGCAATAAAAGTGACTGTAAAAGTAAAGCCGTCGTTATTTGGATTTAAATGCTGTAGACAATGGGATTGAGGAGGCATTGGAAGACGGGAGTGACTCGTGTGGGAGGTGGGTCCTGAAAAGGAAAGAGCGGTTATTAATTCTCCCTGAGGGATGCCACCCTTTATCTGATCCTCTCTCCTAAACACCATATAAATTTATATTTATCACTTGACAAGTTTTTTATTCCTCGCTTCTTGTCTTGCACCTTCAAAATCTCCATACGTCTAGGGTTATTTTTTTAAACTATTTATATTTTAAATTTTTGGGATATATTAATATATTATAATGTACAAGTTATCTTTGGGAATGTGAATTATGAAATACATTACATTAAATAATGCATATCGTTAGAAATCAAAATGATAAATCGTTGCTAATTCGCATTTTAATCAAAGACAGAAAAAATTGTGTTTATCATTGACTGATTTTCTTTCTTTATTTTTTTTTTAATCTATAATCGAAAACCTTAGACCATAAGGTTTAAGAACTACAATAATTTAGTTCATAATCCTTATTTTACATAAGGATTAAGAACTACCATAGCCTGACAAAAAAAAAAAAAAAAAATGAATAATGCTTTCAAAAGAACATGAAACCTATTAGTGCTCAATAATAAAACATGAAACAAGTTAAAACCATGTAACACTTATGAAATTGACAAGAAATTGGCAATTTAAAAAACGTATTCATGCATATTGAAAAGAACAGTGTAGGGAAAAAAAGCAAACTTCAAACCGAATACGTGCGAAGTATAAATTACAGGTAGATGCCCTCCATTTTTAGAAGTCCAGTCGGTTCTTTCTTTCCTTTTATCTCTCTTTTTTTTTTTTTTTTTGGTAGGGATGAAAGGAACCGACCCTCGTTGTAATAAAAGTTGAAAATACAGCGTGAATCCTAAAACGTTATCTGAAATATAAGAAGGAGGGGTTGATCTTTGTCCGTGGCTGATGTATTGCCAAGGAGGAAGTATGAAGCATGGCAGGGTGAGGAACTCTATTTCACGGCTCATTGTCGCCAAGCACTTCTGCCTTCCAACCAGTCAGCAATATGACTCCAGTTGAGTGAATGAGAAGGGCAGGGAATGGCATATGGCCATCCTCTGAGTGGCTAGCTAGTCTGTGGTATTAGCATTTAATAGTAAATATCTCAGCTGGAATCACTAACGGATTTAATTTTGGGGGAGGGCTTCAGCCCTAAAGATTTTTTTTGTATGTATATACTAAGATAATTACTTCGGAAGAAAGAAAGAAACTAACTACCTACATGCAATGGTGTTTAAGTGATTCGTTAAGTCCAATTAAATGTAATTAGACAAATAATAATACTTTAATAGGCAATTTATTTTCTTTAAACATCGTTATATTTTGCCATTTTGGAGGGAGGGAACCTTCAGCCCGAAAGCTCCCCGCCGTAGATCCATCTGTGGCTGGATTGGTAGCAAGTGCTAATATAATTTATCTGATTTCTTCTCCGGTAAGTATCGGAAGTTTTAACTTCAGATGAAAAACGGAAACAGTATTAGTTCATTTTAATACTTGAGTCATAACGAACATTTAAATGTTATTTTTTAATCGATGGAATAATAAAATGACGATATTCAAATGAAGTTATAAATTCTACATATTAAGATGTATTTCTTATATAACAGAAAAACCGTTTTACTTTTAAATAAAAATTGGATGCATGTTCTGTTCTTCGTATTTATAATTTATATAAGCCATGGTGTATAAAAGATTTTTCGAAGAATTTTAGATATTGTTTAACTGGTGTTTATGTGAACATATTCAGCTGAATCCCGAAAAATTCCGATCCGTTTCTACAAATAGATCTGCGTATAATGGTATAGATTAGTAGCTTGTTTTGTTGGTAAGTTAAGAAAGGATCTATGATCGAGAAGACTTGACGGTTAATTGTATTGTCTTCCAATGAAGTTTTCCGTGAATGCTGATGTGGCTCGATAGGAAAGGATTTATTTTAAATTTCTAGCAAAGGTCACAACATCCTAATTAAAAGAAAACTGAATACATTTCCCGTTCTTCGTATTTGGTCCTGAAAAAGTTCTTTATGCGTTGATCCAAGGACATGGGATTGTCGACCTTGCGAGTGGCTTTGTCTGTTCTAAGGCCAGCAATGTGACTAATACCGGCGTTCTAGACAGGGCTGGCTGGTTGGATGACCTAACGCGATTCAATATTAGCTCCTGGCGGCAGATGGTCACTCCTAATAATAGGGCGAAATTGCAATTTATACATCGCATGGCCACTAGGGAAAACAAATTTGTATTAAGAGGATAGAAGGCGATGACCACAAATTATAAGAGATGATGGATGCAAGATTACATTGGCCACTATTAAGGGACCTGCCCGGAGCTGGTTATACCCCCGCCGCTTTCCTTCTCTAATCACTTGGATATATTACTGTTATAATCGACTCCAGATCGCCCATCGGTGATGAGACTTAGCTATGTAATTAATGGTGGCCAAATGGTAATTTTCATGCCTCCGATACGAACCAGAAAGTGGTAACTTGCTCACTTACGCCTGTTATTATCTCAGTGAGGAATCACTGTAAAAAGATATAAAATATTATAAAATTACTATCTTAAGTGTTCTATTTTTTTTAACCTCTTTTCTTGGAAGTACAATTTGATAAAGACTTATTCGAAGTATTCATCTATATTTTGGTTTGATGTTACTAAATACTTTCGTATAGGATAAAAAATATTTGTTTTGTAAATACCTTCCATTTCTTTATGGGTTTCGCATCAATTTCCTAGTTGACTTATAGTTTATATTTTATAAACTTATAGTTCTATATTTTAGTTTATGCGAAATGCCAAACGATATGTTAAATTTCAAAATATAAAACTTTAATTGTAAAATCCTACTATTTTTAGAGGATTCCGGTACCATGGGTCCAGTACCATCTCCCTTCTCCCCCTCTTTGATGTGGGGGCCGAGTTTAGAGGATGAGGCTATAATTTATAATAGATGAGAAAGATGATGGATGGGCTAGCTCTCATAATAGTCACTAATTGAATCTGACCTGAGAACTTCTATTTAAGCTGAAGTGAGAAGTCTGACAACTATACCATTTTAAAAAGCGGTTCCGACTGTTGAGAACTTTACTTTTTACAGGTCATACAAATAAAATACATATATTCATTGTATCTTTGATAATATAATCTATAAAATATATGAAGGTAACCCAATCGTCTGGGGTGCCCATTCCCCCCAAGCTCGATGGCGCATGAACCATCCACTCCTCTCCAAACATTGTATTACTCTCCTCTTCTTAAAAACAGTACAAGCAAAAGTAGAGTTAGACAAGTAGTGGTGGACCGTCCCATGTTTTCTTCCTAGTTCTCTTTTTCAAACTTTACACTCCGAAAATTGAAAACCCAGTCAAAATGTGGCCCCTTCAAAAATTTGTTTAACTTCCGCCATGAAACTCCCTTCTGGGCACCTCTGCCAACCGTGCTTCTTATCTTTATGAAAGTTTTAGACAGAGTGCGCATATAGGGAACAATTCGGATGTTTTATTACTCGGTTGGAAACAAATGTGCAGGTCTTTCAGTCGAATGGAAAACTGGCAACTTGCCGCGCAACATTGCGTAACCTAAACTGGTCCTACAGACAAAAATGTTTGTGAGCTCTCGCTGTTATGCCTGACCTCATTTCTTTACCCATACTTCTTCTGAAGTAGATATTCCAAATCGATTATACTGAATTCGTATCTCTTCTGGAGAAGGGTTTGTATTTACAAACGTCTTTAATTACTGTTTAAAATATAATGGCGTAATATGTTTCCTATCAGTTTTTTTTTACAGAGATGGTGCTGTAAATATAGTTGCAGCATCATCTCTGGACATGAGAGGATTATTCCAAGGATGATTCGAGACGTGCTAGACATGCTTTGGTTGAGTGGCAATTCTTATAAACCTTTTGGCTCCTCATTTCTATCATTTTATGTAAAATTGATTTACTTAGCTTCTGTTCATGGCTTTTTTACAGAGCCGTCTCAAGGATAGTTGGCGGCCGGGGCTAAACTTTACCAAGATCCTGTCTCATAGCCTTCTTAATCAACCAGTAGCCGATTTGCACATTTTTATGAGTAATACTGATTATATCTAGGTAAACCTTCTAATTCTATTAATGGCCTATAAATCTCGATTTCTAGTCAGCCGTTGTATATAATTTTTATTTCTGTCTGTGATTCTTAGTATCGCCTTCGCTCACCCGTGTGACTAGCTGTTTTCAAACACTTTAAGCAAGCCTTCTTGCAGTGGTTGATGCATGTTTGTGATTACATGTGGATCCTGTGCAGTAATTGAAGACGTTTAGTAAGATATGATCACCCTCAACTCTTTTGCTGCGGTGCAAGTCGGTTCATTTCCATATTCCTCCATGGTTGATTACTCAGGCGATTTGGACTAGTTAAATGAAAAGATTATGAGACCTAAAGATAATCGACAAGTCCGATAATCAATCATAGCATGAAGGGTGTATTAAAAATATATATAGTTTGTTTCATGATCTATTATCATAATAAGCGATAACCATGCGCTCTAAACTACCAATGAAACACTTATACCTTACAACCTTACAGTATTCTAGCCATTGCAATCAAAAGTATTCCAAATTACCTGATTTGACAGAACAGTGAATATGCGCTCTGGATTCATAGTAGACCCAGTCGAAGCCCGCCTCTACGGCCAGCCTCGCCAGCATTCCGTACTTGGAGCGGTCCCTGTCAGAGGTGGTGATGTCCACGGCGCGGCCCTCGTAGTGCAGCGAGTCCACGGCGTGGTAACCTTCCTCGTCCCAGCCTTCCGTCACCCTCAGCTTCACCCCGGGCCACTGGTTCATCACCGATATGGCCAGCGTGTTCAGCTTCTCCATACATCTCTGCAAAAAAAATCATTATTTTAATATGCATATTTTATTCATATGAGTTATGCTGGTAACTTAGTATTGGTTACTTAATTATATTAGTTCATTTTTCTTAAGCATTGAACCGTACTTTTCAGTATACACTTGGAAGTTGGATAACAAAAATATTTGAAGAAGTAGAGCCTACAAAATCTTCATTTAAATCTTAAAATATATTATCGAATTTCTAACAAAGGGCTAAAAAGGACTGATTTCTGATTTAATTGAAAACATCGGCTTAATTACAAGCATAAATAGACATAAGTACAACAAGCATCCCCCATTTACAATATATATATACTTCACAACATATATAATAATGACTGACTCAGTCTTTGTTTTATACATTGTTACGGAGAAAATGTTTTAGATATTTATCACCTCCGAAATATTTATTTTATGACCAAAATTAATGACAAATATTTTTCAAGCCATAAGAATAAAAAAATAACCAGAAATAAAAAACTGACAACGACCGGTTGTAAATAAAAAAAAAAAAAAAAAAAAACGATACCTAAAGTTGTTGAATGAGCGGTGGCACCAAGATACGGATGCAACAGACAACTTGTATTATTCCTCGACCATCTCCAATGCGGTATTAAAAAAAGAATGAAAAAAGAAAGAAGAACTCACCTTCCCGGGCTGTTTTCCAAGCTAGAGCGGGTCGCTCCCATTTATGCTGACGGATTTATGGGGTGAAATCAATTTAAAATTTAACAAGATTAAAAAGCCGACAAATAAAACATGCGGCCCGTTCCCAGACTATTGCATTTGCATTTTAATGGTGCGAAAATTACCGTTTAAAAAAAGAAAGCGACAAAGGGGTCTGGAATCCCCTCCGCGGCGGGGAGTGGGAGGGGGGTGTCTTTGCACCAGCTGCTCATTCCAGAATTTTTCGGTCGGTCTTAGAGAGATCTTATCTCTATTCTCGCTGCCTAAGCTTTTAGTATAAAGAATTGCCGTCGTTATTTACTATTAATGATGCCAACGGATCAGGTAATGCAATTATTGTAAAAACATTCAGGTAATACGTAGCCTATTGAATTTAAATAAAATAATTATAAAATTTGATAGTTCCAAATTGAAATGAAAATAATGTCTGCAATTAGTACTGAAAAATGAAAACAATCCACGCTGAATGAGGGAATCTTGAGTCTTGATTCTACTAACCTTTGCATACTAACAAATCAATATTATGATTTTCTTTTCGTTCTTTATTTTTTCACAAATAAATATGATAATTCATCAAATAAATTTTCTGTTTTAGTAATTAAAATTATATACAAACAAATCTTACACATATTTTATTAATCTAATCAACAATTGCAATAACATATAATTAAAAATGGTTTAAGTCTATTTCCGTTTGATATCTAGTTAGCGTCATGAACAATCAGTTACCATGCCGACGATTGGCGTAAAGGGACACATGAAGAAGCCAGCCGCGTAGCGCCTCGTTTATTGCAATGTGATTACTAACGAAAGCGTAATAAAACTACAGGCCAACATAAAGGGGCACATGCTGCAGAGTTTTATTTAATTCCATAGTTGGCTGTAGTTGCTGATGGCAATAAAATTGAGCTGTAACCTCCTTTATTCTCCCAGGAGGAGGATCGTAAACCAGTAAACTCCAATCGCCTCTAGTCTAGTGGATTCGTCAGCTTCTCCCATGCAAATATCGTACGACAGTAAAGTAAATATATGCATTCGCAATTCAATTGAGGTCTGTTTTTATTTGTCATTTTAATTATATTTAGTTTGAATCGAAAATAAATATTAATTTGAAAATTTTCTTGGATTCCTTCCGTTTATTAAGAATAATTTATGCGTTGACTCGTTTTGTTTTATTTCAAGTTTTGAACACATCTTCAGAACGATTTTTAACAATTTTTTATGGTCGTATAATTTTTCCTCGTCAAATAATAATAAATGGCAATTTATCAGTTGTTGTTAAATGAAAATAAAATTTAGCATAAACATTAGGATGATAAAAAAACAAAACAAATTTTGTCCAGTGAAGAAAATCCAGTAATACACAATGGTGCTTTTTCATTTTTATGATAAGAAATTTATTTTTATTTTGAATAATGCATATCTCAGTGTGTATAATAGCATATATCCATATTATTCGAAGTAAAATCAGGATAAACTTAGATGGATGTTTTATAACAATGGTGGTTATTTACAAAGAGAAGCTTAATCGATTTTTATTTTTGGAAATCGAAATGATTATCGATTCCTACGTAAAACACGATGTTTTCTATGGTGAATTTTTTTTTTTTTATACGAACTAAAAATTTAAAATAACATAGGCGTTAAAATATTGATTTCCAAAACCAGTATTTTTAATGAAATAATTCTTACAAAAACTTTTGTATTCTAATGGAAATTAAAATAAATTGATTTTATTATACTATTATTGTAATCAAAAAGTTGAATTTTATTAAACAATTTTAATAACTACCCCCCTCCTTCTGAATCATACACCATTTTATTCTTGCCAAACCGAACCCTAATCAAACTTTTTATGTTCCGTAGCGGGTCTTGAAGTTTAAATCGTTCAAAAAGCGACCCTGTTTAAGTTTCAATGGTTTTATGAATAATGAATTTTTTTTTTAAATATTGAAGCTTTCAAATCTTATAAGATATGGTCAAAAATAAAGAATATCTGTTAAAAGTTTTAAAAAATTAATGATAGCATCTGCTATTCTAGAATGACATGAATTCTTCATAAGAATTAATTTAGGTTTTCTTGTGGCTTAGTACGCTTTTCTTGAGGAAAGTATTTTTAAATATATAAAACGACTGATTTCCTGGCCTATCATTAATGTTATACTTATGTAAGTTCTTAACCTACTTTTGTTGTATTTTTAAACATCCATTTTTGAATACGCTTCCTTGTTATAGAAAATATTAATTACATTTGCAATGGACATAATATATGGAATGAATATAATTACAAATCCAATAGCAGAATTCAGTACTTTGACACACCAAGGAACAAAGGTATGGCAGACATGTGGGTCAGTTGCTCAGATTAGAACAGGTAAACTTCCTGGATGTCATGTTATAAGTAATTCTTCTGAAGTTGTTGAATTTATGGTTGCAGGTGATTAGGGGAGGTATTATTGCCCTCAAGGGTAGGGTGGGTCACAAGGAAATCTGGCGACCTTTCCAGAACAAGGCTACCTGGGAGTCGAAATACATTTAAGTGGTCTATTTCAAATTTACAGTATGTCCCGTTTTATAATAACAGTTATAGAAACCAGCTATGTGAAATAAGGCACGACCTTAGTATAAACTTAAAAGTATTAAAATACCGCTTACTTGCAACTTAAATACTTTTCAGTTAGGCTTGGAGTAATTTTTATTATTGATATTAATAGATGTATATATTTAAATTGGTTTGAATTAAAATGAACAAATTTGTGGAAATATTGTATACTAGTTACATAACTAGGTAAGATCAAAAGTAATTTCGGTTAGAAATTTTTTTCTTACCAAAAGTTGACTATATTCTATTTTGTTAAGTTTATTAGGTTCATTATAATAATTATAAACGAGGATAACCATATAATGGCCACTTAAAAAAAAATAATATATTCATATTCACAATTATGTTGGAAAATATAACTTATAAACCGGTTTGAAATTGAACATCCATTTGTACCCATGATATCATAGAAAATGATCCTTTGATCTTCGATGAACGTCCGATTGGAATGGAGTGTTCGTTTTATGAATGGAGTAAGTATAATTTATGAACTAAGTGAAGGGCGTGGCAAATAGCATGGCGTAATCCAATTGAGAATAGACTGCTATCTCTCTTTCGGCTTAGGTCCTATGCTCCTGTAATGGCGGCTTGCATTTCATCCCCTAAGAATCTACATTATTCTGGTTTATTGTACATATCTTTCAAAAAAGCTATCAAAGAATAACTATATTAAAAGGCAAAATAATAATATAATATTATTATTTTACTCACTCATCGATATAAAGTAAAGAGAATTGTTGCATCACGAATATTTTTGAGTTCACTTATAAAATTCAATTCACTTGGATTAATTTTCAAATATGGGTCATATCAATTTTTTGTTTTAAGTTTTATTATTTTTTTATGGCAGATGTATTGACACAAATAGAGTTTTTTAAGTGATATACAGGGTGTCTCACAACCAAAGGAAAATATTTAAACAGGTGGCAGTAAAACTCATTATCCCTTCAGATAATACATATTTGATAAATCATTATTTTTAATATTTTATTTTTTGTAAAAATTGTATCTCTCCATTTATATTTATTATAATCTCGTCTTGAAAAAAATTAAAGCTTTGCAATAATTTATAGTAGTAATTTTTATTTTAAAAATTGAATTCCATTAGGTGATTATACTTGGACAAAAAACTCATCTGGAACGTATAAAGAAAATTTTAAAAAAGAACTGATTAGAAGATACAAACAACTGTTACATCTTTTGGTTTGCAGATCTCCACTCAACTTACAAAAGAAGAGACTAATCTACACCACCATACTAAGATCTGTTTGGACATACGGAGCAGAACTTTGGGGTTTTGCAAAACACACACACAAACAAAATTCAAACCACACAATTCAAATTCATAGAAAAATCTCCTTGGTTTATTTCAAATCACAACATACACAAAGACATGTAAATTTCTACATACTCAACATTCCATTGTTCTATTCTCAATCATTCAAACCCACTCGTTTTGTCTCTTTCTTTCTCCCTGTTATCCAGTGAGCGTGCCTTAACGACGACTAAAAAGTGGTCTAGAGATCTGTTGACAATGTAAACAAGAATCAGGAATAAAAGAAGACAGAATAAATGACAACACATTTGCTTGGTATAGGCCTATATACGTAGATGCCTATACTACGTAGAGGCAGATGTAAAATAAATAAATATTAGGTGGCAGGATATCAAATAACATAATTTTTTACACAACTTATAGTGAATCTCAACTTATGTCGTAATAAACCTCAATTTAATTAATATGAACTTAAAACTTATTAAACAATAATTTTTTTTTAGAGTGAGATATCTACAGTACAGTAGGAGGGTGATAAAAAATAATCGATAATAATACATGACTTTTTCAAAGCAGAACTTAGCTTAGTTTAGTCGCTCAAAAGATATCTTGAAATTGTGTTAACAATGACTACGATTTTTTCATTTGAGGTAAATTTTGTCTAACTTACTTTAAAGCGAATGTATATTACATAAACTAAATATTGTTTTATTTATCGCTACGTATCAAAAAAACGTAACTTAAAAATATAAAAATTGAACTTCCTACTTTTCTGTCGAAAATCGTACCATTGTTCAGATACACGTGTTTTGTTCTGGATGTCTGCTATCACCTCTTTAAATATTTCCCATTACTTATATGACACCCTGTAATTTCTCTTAATAAAGAATATACAATAGGGTAGGTACAATAATTAATATAAAATATATAAAAAAATATTTTATCGTTGTTCCTTTGATTATTAGTATTAAACGTAGCAAAGTTGCTCCCGAAAATTAATATAAAATAAAAAATAATCGGACATTGGTTATTATTATTATTATTACTAAAATTATTGTTCTAAAATACTTTTACTTCATTGTTTAGTGACCCTGTGACATAACTTATAAAACTGTTACTATGGATAAAGTTATTCAAATGACTTAAATCCTCTCCCCCCTAATTATATCTTTTGCATATTAATTATAATTATAATTATATATTAACTTCACAGCTTTCATGAGCTGTTTACCTAAGTGCCCGACTATTAAATACTAAATGCCTGGGATAAGTACACCTGGGAAACGTTGAGTCGTGACAGGATTTCTAACAGCTAAAACATAAGGTGCCATTTC